GCTGTCTTCGTGCTGGTGCATGCCTGCCTCCCTCTTGTGCCTCTCTGTGGTGTGAGTGACGAGGCCCTGTGGATTCATCAGGAATGACGGGCGCAAATGCCTTCCCCTGTGACATCCCGGGGCTCTCTGTCCTCTGGAAAAAAAGGATCACCTCCTGTGTGCTGATTGTAGCTTGGGACATGTAGAAAAGCAAGAAGATGAGCACAGTCTGATGGAATGGACTTGTGTTGAAGGATAGGGTCGATGCTGCTGCATAGTGACACTTGGGAAGGGGATGCAAATCTCCTTGAGAGGAGCCAGCACATGGTGGCTGTGGTCTGTGGATTTTCTCACTCATCCCGAATGGAGCCTTTCCCATGGGTTCCATCTTCTGGACATTGAACACATTGGTGTGTGCTCTGCGTGGGAGGGAGGTCCAACAAGTAGCCCTGCTTCATGCAGAAGGAATTCCAGATGATGACTTGCTTGTAAGGACACTTTTCATAATAGACATAGCTCCCTATGTCATTTTGATCCATTCCCTGTATACCTCTTCCGACATGTAGCCTGAGTAGCAAAACCAGCTTCCTTACTATAATGAGCCAGTTGTCCCCTATGAGATATTTCTGTGGTTGGCTAGGTAGTGTAATTCTCTTAACTGATTTCCAGAGTGGGTGCAGACAGCTTTCATAGCCAGTGAGATTATCATCTTGTTGCTCTTCATCTGCACTTATCAATGTTGGGATGGGATGCACATGTGGATGAAAGTCAACAGGGGAGGGCAGTTCAGACTAGCATCTTCTGGCATTTAGAGTGGAATTCAGCTTCACTGACTTGGACCTCTAAAGATGGTACATTGGATTTAAACACCATTCCCCTAATGACAGGCATCTGAGATGCTTCAGGGGAGCCTTCCAGAGTGCCTGTTTCTTTCAGGGCCTAAAGAAGGAACAGTCAGGTATCTGGTTCCATTTCAGACACCTACATTTTAAAAGCCTAAGGGCAGATAAATTCCACTTCTGGTGGTAGAAATTGTACATTATTTGCTAACATTGACGATAATACAAGAGCACCTCCTAAATGCTTGTATAATGTGAAGGGTATTCTACCTACAGGGAAAATGTGGGGAAGGCTGAAGAGGTGTGAGGGTGTGTCAATATACGGTCAGGCATATATATGGTGCACATATAGTCATACAACTAGAATTGTGTTATTCAACAGAGCTGACCCAAACTTTGTGAGTGTTAAGAACTCTTGAGATCAGCATGGGTGATGGAACACCTCAGAGGGGATGGGGCCTGGGCAATTGGCTGTGGGAAACCAAGAGAAGAGAGCACAGAGGTGCTGGCCAGAGAGGGGCCAAATACCAGTAGACAGCTAGCCCCCATCTTCACTCATCTTGGAAGTCCAGTCTGCTGGGTTGGGTTAATGGCAGTGCTGTCAGAGTGCTGAAAAGAATTGTGCTGTAGAGATTGACAGAAGCTAACTGCCTGAGGAGTGGAGTGTGCACTAGCATATAGCTAGGTCCTGTTCATCCAACCCATCCATCCTGCTGCAGTTGTCTTTCTGGCTTGCAGAAGTCATCCCTAATGTCCCAGTTGCTTGTTTGCAGCATTTGTAATAGCTGAGGTATTGGTGATGGTGACAGGCAAGTTGTTGGGAGACTTTTCCAATTGGCTTGATCTGTATGGTGGCCATTTGTATATGACTGCTGTAGTGAAGGGTTTCCACATCTTAAAATGCCAGACAAGTGCTTCATATTCCTAGGTTCACTGCCATTCATTGGTAAGACTCCCCAGAAGCACCTCAGGCTGTCATTCACGAGACACCTCTGGTGCCTTCCTAGAAGAAAAAAAAAGAATATGACATCTTTATTTCCTTTCTCCCTGCATTATGGGATCACCATTCCCCTTTCATACCACTGCCTCCCTACTCTCATGTGGATGACTGTCATTACTGCATATCTCCAGAATGCGGGGAGCAGCATCCTATGAGGTCTAGACTAACAGTGCTCCGCAAATTGCTTGTAGGAAGCACCCACTAGCCCCGTATTCCCATTCAAGTCTTATGCACAGTTAAATTGCTCTTCTTGTTTGCAGTGCGTAAGCAAGAGATCATTAAGATAACAGAGCAGCTGATAGAAGCCATCAACAATGGAGACTTTGAGGCTTATACGTAAGTACAGATGTCTTCTGACAGGTTGTTTATCAGGTTGTGTGCAAGTGATGTTCTGGCTCCTGGGTATGAGGAGCTGTCATGCAGTCAGGTATGGTAAAAAGTCTTAGGCTTTTTAGCGGCCATCAGTTAGGAGTAGGGCTATGGTAGAGCTCTCTAAATGAACATCAAGTAGAAATCAGGTACCAAACAGCAACAGGAGTGACAAAAGGAAAATGTCCTGGCTTTGTAAGAAAAGTAAGAGGGAGGGCAGTGAGATGGGCAGAAAGAATAAAAGAAAAGCCAGAAACCTAGAAGCTTGTTTTATGTGAAATGCCAACTAGCACCAACTCTGTGTTGTTGCAGTAGGACTGAGTCCTCCAGGACCTTACTACTTGGAGTAGGGAAATAGTTAGGTGGACACAGAGTGTGAGTCAAATGCTGTACCAGTGATTCATTGTGTAAATAGCCCTTGGGCTTAAATGCAGACTCTAAGGCTGTGGTGCTTTTCTTTGCAGAAAAATCTGTGATCCTGGCTTGACCTCATTCGAACCTGAAGCACTGGGGAACCTGGTTGAAGGAATGGATTTCCATAAGTTTTACTTTGATAACTGTGAGTGGGTAGATTTGGTAACGCCAACAGCTTTCTCTCTAATCTTCCTTTATGCTGCATTTTGGGCGGAAAATTGCCCTTGTTTTAACTGTCTACCAGAACCAGCAAGAACTTGATTGTGCATGGTTTATGATGCATTCGTAAAAGCCAGCATGCTTTCTCTCAAAAGCCTTTTTCAGCAACAATTTCAATTCTAACCCCCAGATCCCTTCACTGTAGGCATACGATTTGCCTGGTGCAAATATTTGGTAAGCATGGACTGCAGGAGCTTTAAAAGTTTGAGGCACCGGATTTCCTACTGACATGGGAATGAAAAAAATTAGTGTATTTTGATGGAAACAACCTGTATGTTTGGGGTAGACATGGTGAGTGGCCAGACATAAAGATAGTTATGCACAAATCAGTCATGCCTTCGCTTTGAGTTTTCCCTGGATGGTTTCAGATCTCTTAACACCTAATGAACCCATTACGTGGATAGAAGGGTCACCTTGTCAGCCTGGGACAGGAAAAAGAGTTGGGAGAAATGCTACCATTTATACTAGCTTCCCTTCCTGGATGTCTCCACAGGATGAGATAACTGAAATTTAAATCCTGAGCTGTTCAATTTGTTTTATTTTGGGGGTTAGGTCAAGGTCCTTAGTATAGGCAATTCCTAGTGCTCTAAGTATGCAGAGACTCCATCTCGCTTAAAAGCCTGCTGGAGTGATTTTTACAGTTCTCTGAGGCTTGTTCATATTTAATGCAGGCCCAGCTTAAAGAGTTCCTGATTATTGACTCTTTTGCAACAATATTCTGTAATTAAAAGATCTTTTCTTGTAACTGAAGAAACAGCAGCACTGAGGTTGAAAAAGAGGCAAGTGTACTTTGCAGAAGTGGGAGCAAAGGGGCCAAGGGATTCTAGGCAATAATAAGTGCGCCATTTCTAAGAAGAACAGGTGATAGGGGAAAGAATTGCTTGGATTTTGCCTGGAAAATTGCAGGAGCAGTTTTTATTGTATCCCAGAATCCAGTGGAAGGTGAGCAGAATACAAAAGAGGTTGGAGGATGGAGGGGGCTATTCCCTCTTAGTAGTAAAATTAAGCTGATGGTTTTGCATGTTTTGCCAGTACTGTCGAAGAACAGCAAGCCAATACACACCACCATCCTGAACCCCCATGTCCATGTAATTGGTGAAGATGCTGCCTGCATCGCGTACATCCGCCTGACACAGTACATCGATGGCCAAGGCCGGCCCCGCACCACGCAGTCTGAAGAGACCCGCGTCTGGCACCGCCGAGATGGCAAGTGGCTGAATGTCCACTACCACTGCTCTGGAGCTCCTGCAGCACCTCTCCAGTGAGGATCAAATACGGGTACGGACTGTCAGGGAAGGAGTATAACATGCACGCAGCTAAGGCTGCTGTATGTGGGAATTCAGTATTCAAGGCTGTTTAGCTGTCTCTGAGAGAACCATTTTTAGTTGTCTGCAGGATAAAAACTTCGGCTGATCAGTTGGTGTTCCTTTTTCTAAGCCCTGTCCCCTGGACTAAGTAGGATTATCTGCCTCGTCTGACAAACTGGAGTCATGTGCCAGACAGTTGTTCCTGATCATAGCTACCCTTGTAGCAGCAGTGCTTCCTCCCAGGTACTCAGCTCTGTGCTCAGAGTGTTAATCCAGAGCAGAGAGGAAGAGTGTCTCACTCTGTGCACAGGTTTGCTGTTTCCCAGCTGTCAGGGATCTACCTTTACATGCTGATGATTTCAGATAACTTTTTTGATGAGAACGTCATATTCTAGAGGGGTTATTGTGAAGTCTATACAGAACAATTTCTGTGACATAAGGGTAAAGATTTATTCATATAAATTTTACTACTGATTTTCGGATTAGCAGAAGATATTTAGTGTACAATGTTGAGAAAACTCAGAGAGAAAAAAAAATCTAAACAAATAATAATATCAGAGGATTTAAAATATGCCTCAATTAGCTTGCCACAATTCAGCACTGGAGACTTTGATTATAAAATTTGACATGAAGAAACAAGTGTTCCATCCTCCTGCAGGACAGCAGATCCATTTACTTCTGCAGCAGTTAGGCATTCTTGTTTATTGCCTTACTGCTTTCTTTTAGTTAGATGTACAAAGTCTTTCTGCCTCCTTTTGCTTTATGCTGAAGTGTATGTCACATTCATTTTAAAGATCTAAGTTTCCTAATCATAGGACCTTTTTACTGAAGATTTTCTATTTAAGAGCAAACACAAAAAAACATCTATACACGGGAGACAAGCTTTTTTAAATGTGGTCCTTTGAGGATGAGGCACTCAAGTGTAGTTACTGTTTGAGTCCGAGTCTTGTATACTACTTGGGGCTAAGCCAAGAGCAGTTGTGTTATGAGGGATTCAACCCTACTGAAGGCAATGGAAAGGAATGTGAACTATCGCAAGCAAACTGCAGAGGTCACAGATGGAATTTAAAAAGCAGAAGCCAGTTGGAGGCACCAGAGCAGGGAATCTTTCAAGAGAGCTGGACAATCAGCTGAATTTCCAGGGAGTAAGGCAATGAGAAGGATAAAGCCTTTGCAGGGAAAGAAAAAATAACTTACCTCCATGAGTTTTCATCACAGAGATATTGAGGGAGACTCCTGTCCTGGATTTAGCCCAAAAAAGATGCAGAAGAAATTGTTAAATTAAAGATCGATATGGCTCAGTGGCTATGCCTAGCAGTGCTGAGGAAGCTTAGGAATGGAGAGTCTTAGGTGCTACAGAAGAGGTATGTTTCATTGACTTGGATGCTGAAATGTTGCACCTCCTCCAAAATTATGTGCTGGAAGGTTTCTGAAAACTGCAGAGCAGAAGCCATTTCCAAACCACAACATGTTGGTTAAAACAATATTTTTAAAAAACCCTATAAACTAAACTGAAGTTGAAATATTTGCATGCATTTCTGGGTTCTGAAGGAGGTGTAACCACGTGCAATTAAGAGTGGGGTCAGCATGGGCAGCCCCCATCTGAACACACTGAATCATTTTGGAGTAGAGTTGGCCCATGTGCAGTGAAGGGTAAGTATGAAGAAGGAATGAGATGAGTAAGAATGCTTAAATAGAAATCAGGGGTTTGTTTTCACCTGGGAGGCAGAATTCAGTTTTGGGTAAGTCATCCTAAAAGGAAACTGCAGCCGTAAAGGAAGTTTGAGGTCAATCAGAGGACTTCCGTGTAAGGAGAGAGGAGGAACTGAGAAGGGACAAGACTAATAAGAGAGTAAGAGAGTTTGTGACAAAGATTTGCAAACTAAGAAATGGTAGAAAGAAGATTTTGGCTGCACTTTCATGGCAGGACAATGCTAAACAAACATGAAAAAAACCCAAAGTTGAAACTGATCAAAATAAATCCAGTAATTTGACACAAGAAGATTAGCCAAGAGGAGCTTTTGCTAAAAGCAGTCACTAGGGCTACAATTTAGCAAAACTGCAGGAAAGCTCATATGTTTCTTTAACTGCTAAGAACATTCAGAGACAAAATTACTGAAGACTTAAAAAAAAAAAAAAAAAAAAGGATTTTTCAGTTCAAGGCAAAAGCCAGTTGAAAGTGAGGCAGAAACTGTTCCTTAGAACCAGAGCCTTTGATCACCCCTTGAGAAACTTCTTCAATTTCTGGGACATGTCACTATTAGATAGTGGGCCCAGGTGTCCTCCAATGGAGCAAGTAGTTAATTTTAGCAAGTAGTTCATTTTCATTGCCACACTCAGCCACCTGGAAGGGAAAGCGTGTGCCTCTTGCCTTCAGGGCTCTCCTCATGAGCCCTAGTCAGTGTTGTGTTAGGAAGGGTTTCTGCCTGCACCAAATAATTAGCCTGTAGAAAATGTGTTTTATTAATTGTGTACAGCTAATGTTTGGCTTTATTTCCTTCCATCTTCCATCCTGTTCTCCCCTGTCCTTTCTGGGTGGACACTACCTCTTCCTAACTGCAGCAACCTGTGGAGATACTCAGCTGGAGGGTAATATCTTCTCAGCAAGCAGCTCTGGAGTGCCTGAGTGACAGCAACGGTCATGTCTGTTTTGACGTTAAAAAAATAAATACAAATTACAAACAGGCAGCAGCCAAATGCACGAAACCCTGCATGCATCTGATGCTCCAGGCGCTGCCTTTCTGTTGTTTCCCATGGATCCATCGTGTCTGTTTCTGCTGTATGAAGGTGTTTTTTAAATCTTAAAAAAAAAAGACATGTTGTTTGTATAAAATAATAAAAAACAGGAATAATGCTAAATAAATGACAGATTATCCAACATGCCCCTTCCCCCAGGGCTAAGAAAACGGCAGCAGCTGGAACATCTTTCAGAAATGAAGTGAGGGGGAAAGCAAAAGTGAAGGAGAGAGAAAGAGAGAGGGAGAGCAAATAAGGAGGCAGCTTGAGCAGCGGATGGCTAAACTGTGCTCCACAAAGCCATGGTGGAAGTTAACATCGCATTCAGGCTGTGCTGCAACTTCAGTCAGTGAGAGGTGGCGAGGAGACCCCAGAGGAGCCAGTGTGAAGACTGGGGTTCAAGAGAGAGGAGGCACTTCTCTTCCTGTTGCCTGGCAGACTGACTTCAGCCTGAGTTTCTTCTTCGATTTCTGCACAGCAAGAACGCTATGGAAAGCTGGTTGCTCAGCTGCTGGATCCCAAAATAGACCTTTATTTTTTTTTTTTAAGAAAAAAAAACCAAACCAAGATGGGATGTTGATTTAAAACTAAAGGTGGAAGTAGGGATTAAAAAAATGGGTTTAAGTGAATATAACTTAAATGGAAGCTTGCTCTTCAGAGATACTGGTTTTAGAAACAGCCACTACCTGGCCAAACATGGAGGTTTGAAGCCAGCTTATTTAATTTAACAAAACAGAAAAAAGCATTGCATTAAGAGCAGAGATTTTAGAGGAAGAATGTACATGTATGGGATTTTCTTTTTTTTTTTTTTTTTTTTCCTTTCTAGTAGCATAGTTGGGATCCACAGTGCTGCAGAACACATGTTCCTTTAGGAAGCAAACAAAAAACTTAGTGATATATTCTTCATGAAGACTTGCACATACACTCCTATATGAGGCATAAATAGCGTGTGTTTTTTATACTGAAATATATGCACCCATAGAATTAAAGGGGTTACCTGGCCTCCTGTTTGATTTGTTTGGTCTCCGAGTAAAATAGCAGGGGGAGCCAGCAGCCCCAGCCAGGTGCTTCTCCTCACCACTAACCCATCTGATGTTTGTAAGTGTCATGTTTCCTAGTGTTTATTTGGATAATTTTTCTATTTTTTACAGTGATGTTGTAACACAGAAAACTATCAGATCAGAACCTAAAAAACTAGCCGAAGGACTCCAGGCCACCTTCCTGTGTTACCTCTGGGTGTTAGAGGATACCTCATGAAGCAGAGGGGAAAGGGAATTAGCACATGTGATCTGGTGTTTGTCCTTTGGGCCAATTCATCTTCCTTTCTTTTCTTTGCTGGAAAAGGAGTCCATTTCCTTTATTCATCGGGTGGGGAATGTGGAAGTGTTGGCTGACATTACCAAGGAGGGAGTCTAGCCCCAACAAGAAAATGGCCTTTCTGGCGAATCCAATAGGATTCATCTTGACCAAGAGAAGGTATCACTTGCAGAAGTTGGGATGGGCTTTTACCTGAATTTCTGTCTACCCCTAATAATTTTTTGGATCTTTGAGGGAGTTAAAGTGATTTCATTGACAGACTACTAAGTGTGAGGCAACTGCTTTGCAGACTACAGAAGAGAAGAAAGCCAGTTTGGAATTTTAATCGTTATTTAACAGAATGCAGAAAATGCTGTTGCACAAACAGGAGCTGTCTCTTTGCAACAGATAGCTCTCTGCTCCCTTTGCTAGGGAGGCGCTGTCCCACACCAGGATTAGATGAGCTAACCCCTGATGAAGGAAAAGACCATCCACATTTCCCAGGTTTGTCTGAGAAAATACCCTTTTCTTCCTCCCACCACCACACCAGGGAGGACTGTGGGGATTGAACCCATGGGGGCAAACACTAGATTTTATTATTTCAAAACATTTTTAAGACAGCACTAAGCCAGAGAGTGGAGTGAAAAAGCGAAAAGCCTTGATATTTTATTCAGATATTTTTTTAAAGCCACAAAGAGAGAGCAAACAGGAGATTACAATTATGGCATTTAAAAATGATAAATACAAGACATTATGCATGCCTTCTTTAAGTCTGATATTCCTTGTCTCTTTACCTGATGATTATTAATAATTAAAAAGAAAACCCTCGGTATTAAGTATCTGCATCTTTCAGAGAAAATTTAAAAAGAACAGAACTTGGATTTTTTTGTTTTGCACAGTCTTGGAGACAAACTCTCTTTTGAGTTTTTTTGTTTGTTTTGTTTCCTTTTAAGTTAATGAGAACCTTAGCTTGGTATGGCCATTATCAAACACAGCTGTACACCTTTAGCATTCTTAATGTTCTCTTATGGGGCTAATATAAGCATCTATATAATATATATTATAAATATCACATTTTAAACAGGAAATGGAAGGCATTTGATGCAGAATTTTTGCATGATATAGAAATAATTAAAGTTAGCTAGTGTTTGTTTGAATGTTGGTAGAACCTTCATAGCTTTGTTACAATGAAACCTTGAACTGAAGATATTTAATAAAATAACATTTAAACAGTGCAAAGTTTTAAGTGTCACATTTTTCTCTTCAACCATGGGACAATGTGGAATTGACACATCTGGGAACCTGCAGGGGAGTTTTTTTGTGTCAGTAAATCATGTGATTTTAAAATGCCATATTTAAAAAGGAAAAAAGGTAAGTGATACCATATGTAAAACAAAACAAAAAAAACAGTGTTAATAAAAACAAAGGGACAACAGAACCTGTTAAAATAACATTTATGGCATTTCCCTGACAGACCAGGGGATAATAGAGACATGTTGCTTCTGTTCCTGATAGCCTAACCTTTGCCAAGCCTATGCTCTTACTTTTCTTAGTCTTTGTTTTCCTCACCAATATTTCAGACTCCTTGTTCGAGAAGCCGTTAGGTTTGCCTGATGTAAACATGCTGGTGGCAGCTCTTAAATTTGTGAGATAGTGTATTTTGTGTCCTAGATGGGATGCTCCTGTGGAGGCACAGATCAAACCACTCACCTGTACAAATTTGCCTGGTCTAGCAGCATAAGCATGACTTCCCAACAGAAGCTAGAAGTTGGTTGGATGTAGCCTGTTTTGTTTCTATACTGCCTCTTGTTATTAGCATTTCATTTATGCTGCCCTGGATAGATTTTGTGCCACTCAGGCCTTCGCTGCTTTGGCATTTTTCTTTTTATTTCCCACCTCGTACCGTTCACACTGCTCTCTCAGGGGCAGGCGGCCAGCAGTGATCCTGCAGCGGAGCCTGGGGGGCTCTAGCTGCCATTTGTGCCCCGGGTTTGGCAGGCTTGGCTGGCCCCCCCTCCCCTGAGCTCTTCCCCAGTGCAGCTGGGAGGGGGTGGTGTTGCCTTATCACCCAGAGAGAGTTCAGCGTGCTTAATCCCCTTTAACTGCAGCAATTACCTAGTAAATAGGTGTCAGTTGCTGCTCCTTAAAGAGATTATTGCTTTTGCTGCCTGATGAAACAGGCGGAAAATTGTCCTTCGTGTTTAAAGGGAAAAGGTAAGAGTTTTTTACAGCCCACTTCACTGAGACTGAAGACAATCTGTTCATGGCCAGGAGAGAGAGTGCCTGCCATTACGGTAGCAAAGAGAGGTTCTGCGACCATCCAAGGCAGCATCATTCATCAGGTAATGTCTCTCCTGAAGCAGTTAATCATATCTTAATGATCTTGGAAGAGATGTTGCGGTATGATCTGATATGCACTAAGAAGATACCCATAAAGTTAGTGATGATTTCACATGTTCTTAGTAGCTCTTTTAACCAGGATAAGAGTAATTTAAACACTTACAGAAAGCACAATAGTCAGACTAATGCTTACCTCAAGAATACTTATGCAGCATATATATGAGGGTATTCAGAGGGTTCCTGTGTATGTGTGTGATTTAAGTACGTTTTTAAATGTGATGGTGTTCCATTTAAGCTGTACTGTATGTGCCTTTACCAATTGCAAGTGCTCCACTAGTCAGTCATGGGCAGGGGCAGTGAAAAAATGGGGTAGAATCTGGTCCAGAAAGGGTCCCTGTCTTACGTTTTAGCTGACAGCAGAGGTTGGGAATGGTACTTGTCTGCAACGTGATAGCTGCAGTATTGAGCTATCAAGCAGCGATATTCACAGAAATTTCTTTTCCAGTATGCCGTATCTAGTTAAAATCTGCTTATCCTATTGGATGGCATTTTGCCACCTCCCTACCCAAGAGCAGTGTCTGAATGTGGCGTTTTAAGTTCCTTCCCTCTCTCCCAATATATGCACGTGCATGCTTGTACACATAGGTTGATTACTCTGTGGGAGGCCTATGCTTGATGGTAGCTTTTATTTGTGCCCAAATCAGATTTCCCTTTAAACTAGGATTGGTCTGCTCTCACTTGCTGGGCTAGTGGCACAAAGTCTGGCAGGATGCTTTTATACTATGGTATGTATGAGATGTGGGGAGAAGCATGAGCAGAACTAGACCTTAAGTGTCGATAACCTTTCCTTTTTTTTAATGAAAACTGTTATCTTTAACTTACATGTAACTTGTAGACAAATTGGCAAAGTATTTGGCTAGCAATCAGGAGGTTTGTGATCTGCTTTTGCTGTGGCTCTGCAGGGTGACTGCAGACAAGCCACTTGTGCGCTCTGCACTTCAGCTTCCCTATTTGTCCATGCAGATAATCAGACTGACCTCTGGTAGAAACCGCTGGAAGAGACTAATGACCGGTGATGCAGAGCAGCTGGGTGGTATTGCTGCTACACATCACAGATGGCTTTTTTTTCCCCCCCTGAGAATTTGAAAGGTTTGGGAGTGCAGACTAATGCACCTGGAATGCCTGTTTATTTGGGTTTAGTATAAATTTATTTTAGAGTTGGGAAAGGTGCTCCTTGGGGGCACTTAAAGTGGCTTGAGTGGAGGGTTATGAATTTTTCCCTTGAGATACTTCTGCCTGAGAACTTACCACCTGCAAGAATACCCTGCCTGCCAGTAAGCAATAGGAATTTACCGGTTGGTGTGTAGTATTATAAAGAATTTTTACCACACAATTTCTTCTATACTTAACAAGTATTAGAAAATAAAGATGCACATGCTTATGGGTTTTAAGACAACCAGGCCCCAGTGAAAGGATGCAATTAATTAATTCAATAAAATCTCAGTCTGAAAGTTCCTTATGCCGCTGTGGAGTCCTCTAAAGCACAGATGGATGGGGGAGAGGGAAAGGTGGTTGTCCCTAACCTGTGGCAACTTAGATAATTTTATTCACCATAGTTATCCATAAATGGATGGGCAGGATGACATTTATTCACAGAAAACCTCTTCGCTAGTGCATTCTGTGGCTGCATATTAGCAGAGCTGGGATTTGGACAGTTCTTGTTGGAATGAAATACTGTCTCGTCGTGATTTATTTCTCCTTAATATTTCTGTGGAAAAGTGTAGTGTTCATACTAACAGAGGATAGCCTACAAAAATGGCATCAGGGCTGTGCTTCAGAGGTCTTGTTTTCATTGGAACATCCTATAGGTTATATCAGTAGTTACAGCTGTGCCACTGCTGCATGGTTGTTCCAGTTCCAGAAAGCAATTATTTATTTGTTTGTTTCTTACTACATGTTTAGAAGTTCAAAACAAACTGAGAAAAGTACTTATACAAGGAGGTTATGTTCTCCTTATGTCATCTGACATTCATTGCTTTGGCTTTGTCATATTTTTCCTATATAAAAAAGGCCCACACTTTGAGATAGTCTTAAATGTTTTTAAG